CGACTTACGCGGCTTTAACGGAACTTTTTCGGAAACGGAACAATTTTTGATAGCCTCTTCATGCGTTCTTCCAAGGCTATGAATTATGAGAAGGGTAAAACTGATTATATTACGAAAACAGCATAAATTATCCCAGATAGCGGTTGCGCAACATCTCGGTATTAGTGTCGCCGCATACGGAAGAATAGAAACCGGGAAAAACCTGCTTACCGCAGAGATTATGTTGAAACTCTGTTATTGCTATGGCTGTAGCCTGGAATCGCTCCTGGATAATAGCCCGGGAAATGCGACCCAGGCACAGGCACCTCCGGATAAGAATGATTCAAATGCTGCTTTTAAAGAAATATCTATGGAGCAGCTATACAGGCATGTGATAAAAATGCAGGAAACAAATGAACGGTGCATCGCATTCCTGGTGCAGAATATGCTGGAACATTGTAAAGGCTTATTGCAAGATATGAATAAAAGTATACCTGTTAAATGAACCTCCTTTACTTACCGCTGTTATGGAACGTATAAAGCTGAAAGCGCTACGGGGAGAAAAAGGCCTGTCAATTCAGGAAGTTGCAAATGCACTTAATAAAAGTAATGCAGCGTACCGGCGTATTGAAAACGGTGCTTCTAAACTGGTAGATGAAGATATGGTAAAGCTGCGCGACATCTATAAATGCAGGCTTGAAGACCTTATTGATATACCCGGATCTGAAAATAACCCGATAATTGGCAGCGGACAATCCGGTAATGAACCGGATGCCGGTGTACAGAAACTGCTGGACCTGATGAAAGCCATGCAAAAGAAACATGAAGTAGATATGGTGGCGATCATGAAAGCATTCCTGATGGGCTTTACAGAAATGATACAGAAACACAAGGAATCCTGACCATACGGCCTTATAACAGTTGCAGGATGTTCCGGGTTGTCTCCGGATTATCGGCGGAAAACCATTGGAATGCAGGGTCTTTCCGGAACCAGGTCAGCTGCCGTTTGGCATAATTCCGGGTATGTTGTTTGATAAGGGAAACGGCTTCTGCCAGCGATGTTGTTCCTTCAAGGTGATCAAAGACTTCATTGTATCCTACCGTTTGCAGATTTTTAAGGTGTCTTTGGGGGAAGAACCTTTTCGCCTCATCCAGTAATCCTTCTTCCATCATACTATCTACACGCTCATTGATGCGCCGATAAAGCAGGTCGCGGGGTAATTCTAATGCGGCTTTAATT